AGTTAACCAAATAGAAACACTCCAAACAAATTATCAAAACTGACTGAATGAATTTATCAAATGAATCACAAGATATGAAAGTTACCATAGATTACAATAGCAAAACAGCATAAGTGAGGCTGCTTTAAACAGAACATGAGTGTAATGAGGGTACATAGTGAGTGTAACAGAGGGGTTATTCATAAGTCTGTGAAACATTTTAAAAATTTTCCACTCATAAACTATGCAAGAGGTAATGATAACTCATACACAGAAAGAACTTACACATCATTCATATACAGAAAGAACAACAAACTCTCAGAGAACACCATCAGAGATGGTGGCATGACTATATTTATCAGCAAAACAGCTGTCAGGGTCATTATCACCAAGAAGTGCAATATAACTCAATGATAATTTGCCACAACATTGGATAACAAGCACAGGTCTCTAAAATAAGATTTATTACTTTATCATGAGGACCTGAATGTAGTGGCCATCTCAGTCACCAGATTTAAGCCTATGAAACTTTTCCTACTGGATATATGAAGGATACTGTCTTTGTGCTTTCACTTCCCATTAATCTCAAAGAACTCTGCACTGATATTGCTGCAACTATGATACTTATCAACCATGTCAGGCTCACATGCACATAGGATGAAATCTGGGAGTGAAATTCCCAGACTGTCTGGGTGAAAACCTGGGAATTGACTCACTGTCCAGGTGAACTATTAGTTTTGTCCAGGAATTTTGTAGAAATTGTGAAATTATAATGAAAAAAAGTTCTTACAATCTTTTTGAAAATATTTTTATAAATTTACACTATTTTAACAGCAAAAGAACTCACACTCACTGAAACTCATCTGCAATTCTGCCATGTTAGTCTGTTTATGCCGATGTGTGGCACGCAACCTGTCAACCTTTTTTTTTTTATGTACAACAAATGTACGATCGTACACATCTCAAATAAAGCTAAGTTATCTGTACCTGTTCTTTCTTAATTTAGGTTACTCACATTACTCCTATGCAAGTTCCTAGTCCCTAACTGTAACTGGTTTAGAACCAGCATGCACATTATTCTTTGCATTGTAAAATGACATTGTGTCAGGAACTTCTGTTCAAACAAACCTGACTTGCTGTCCGGGTCAGCAATTTTGAAAAGGTGGCAACACTAGATGAAATGGAGTATTGTCTAGATGTCTGCCTTATCTGCAAAGACAGACACATTGAGCATTTGTGAGGTATACAAAAAGCTTTGAGAATTTACCTTTATTCAAATGTACTAAGAAATAATATCTGTTGCATAGTTTACAGATAATTAATATTTAGTATGTTTCACAGACTTATGAATAATTCTGTATTTTCCATATTCAATGAAGAACTATATATAGAAAAATTTTGATTTTTATATTCGAAATTTATGGAATTATGAAGTTATTCGAAAATATTGTAAAGTAAATTTTGCAATATTTTCAAATGTTACTATTTTAATATTGCAAATTTTAGAAATGAATAAATAGTACTTACATTATCATCAGGAGGTTCATCAGATGAAGCTGCCTGAATAGAATATGCAACAAAACAAAGAATAGCACCTATCCATAATAAAAGTGCAAATCCCCCAAAAAGATTTTTGCAAAATTTCACCCATTCTGGTGTTTTCTTAGGGGGTGAGAGTGCATTTGGTCCATCTCTTTCCAAAATATGTTTAGCTTCTTGTTGTGTTAAGCCCTAAAAGAAAATATAATTTAGTTTTAATTATTTAAATATAAAACAACTAAAAAATTAGTTATATTTTATAATAAATTTTAGTGATAACAAAAACGTAAGAAAAATATTTTGATATATAAAAATGCATTCTTGAATTAAATAATGCTTTGTCAACCAAAAAATTATTACATGATATATCTTAATTATATATAAAAGATAATAATGTTTACATAGTATAATAGAACACAAAATATAATATTTAATAGAATAGAAAGCTCCAAAAATAAAATATAGAGCCTAATAGCAAATTTTTAACAAAATCAATAGTAACTGTAGCCATTTGATATTTTTTACAATGTAGCCAATATTCAGGGTGTCAAAAAAATCATTCATCATTTATATGGTAACCATACTGATAACACACAAACTCTTTAAAAAATCTTAGTAAACATAGTTAGTAAACCTTAGTTAAAACTCAAACCATTTCTGAGATAAATAATCTGACAAAGACTGAAACAACTTTTTGAGAAAGTTCACAACTCTGTAAGAAGATGTCAAGCCATTGTCAATCATGACGCTAATACAAAATTGTTAATATGAAACAGGTGAGTTTTTTTACCTATGTTTAATTTTTTACTCAGTATAGTGTGTACTATCTGCCATATAAATACTGAATGCTTTTTTTAACACCTTATAGAAGAAATCTCATTATAATAAATTAGAAAATAAACTCAATAATTAAACAGAAAAAACAAAATATTTATAGAATTCAATACTTTTAGCTTATTTTATAAGCATATCAGCTTGAAATTGAAATTAAAAAGAAATCATTAATTCAATAAGTTTAAACATTTTAGNGTACAGAACTGAGGCTCCAATGCATTTTGCAAAACCTACATTTCGGCTCCCACTGAACTTTTGCTTGCCCACCCCTGTATTATAATAGCTAAATGAAGAAAGATAAATGATAATGATGATATACAGTTAGATGATAAGTGGTACTGTCATGTGAATATAAAAGGAAGAATGGCAATAACAATGAAAGTGTGAAAAAAGTGTATAAGTAAAAATGCAATGGTATAGATAATAATGTAATAAACACAATTATATTATTAATGTAAGATTAATGTAAAGAAACAATGATATTGTAAGTACAAGATATTGAGATAATTTATAAAATAAATGACTTGTAAGTTAATATAAAATAATTGTATTAATAGGTAACCAAATTATTATAATTTGGTTACCTATTAATGTAGAAAAGAGAGATCATCATTTAAATATAATGTTAAAATATAAGATGGAAGAAATGAGATAAAAAGATTATAAAATAAGAAATGTTAAAAGGTGAACTGTATGTATACTGATGTATACTATAAAAAGGAAAATGTATACTGATGAAGACTACAATGAAAGTTAAAATCTGCAATGTGATAAGGAGTTGTAATATGGATTTTGATAGAAATAAAACATTTTAATATTTTAATTAATTTAATTATTACAATTATAATATTAGTTTTTTAAATTAAAGAATTAGAAAAGTAATGCCTCTCAGTATGTCACGAATATTATCATCATCTGTAAGAAATATGTCATATAAAGAAGTCAACTGAAGAGGGTGTTTGGCTAAAATAAAATTTAATGGATAAGGGTTTTAATATGTTAAGTAATATAATTTATGAATTAATGTTAAATAAATAATAAAATAACAAAGATACCATGTGTGATAAGCACTAAATTAAGTTTCAGAAAGACATAGTAATGCAAAAATCTGAAATACTAAAAATATATGACAAAATACACAAAGTTAACCAAATAGAAACACTCCAAACAAATTATCAAAACTGACTGAATGAATTTATCAAATGAATCACAAGATATGAAAGTTACCATAGATTACAATAGCAAAACAGCATAAGTGAGGCTGCTTTAAACAGAACATGAGTGTAATGAGGGTACATAGTGAGTGTAACAGAGGGGTTATTCATAAGTCTGTGAAACATTTTAAAAATTTTCCACTCATAAACTATGCAAGAGGTAATGATAACTCATACACAGAAAGAACTTACACATCATTCATATACAGAAAGAACAACAAACTCTCAGAGAACACCATCAGAGATGGTGGCATGACTATATTTATCAGCAAAACAGCTGTCAGGGTCATTATCACCAAGAAGTGCAATATAACTCAATGATAATTTGCCACAACATTGGATAACAAGCACAGGTCTCTAAAATAAGATTTATTACTTTATCATGAGGACCTGAATGTAGTGGCCATCTCAGTCACCAGATTTAAGCCTATGAAACTTTTCCTACTGGATATATGAAGGATACTGTCTTTGTGCTTTCACTTCCCATTAATCTCAAAGAACTCTGCACTGATATTGCTGCAACTATGATACTTATCAACCATGTCAGGCTCACATGCACATAGGATGAAATCTGGGAGTGAAATTCCCAGACTGTCTGGGTGAAAACCTGGGAATTGACTCACTGTCCAGGTGAACTATTAGTTTTGTCCAGGAATTTTGTAGAAATTGTGAAATTATAATGAAAAAAAGTTCTTACAATCTTTTTGAAAATATTTTTATAAATTTACACTATTTTAACAGCAAAAGAACTCACACTCACTGAAACTCATCTGCAATTCTGCCATGTTAGTCTGTTTATGCCGATGTGTGGCACGCAACCTGTCAACCTTTTTTTTTTTATGTACAACAAATGTACGATCGTACACATCTCAAATAAAGCTAAGTTATCTGTACCTGTTCTTTCTTAATTTAGGTTACTCACATTACTCCTATGCAAGTTCCTAGTCCCTAACTGTAACTGGTTTAGAACCAGCATGCACATTATTCTTTGCATTGTAAAATGACATTGTGTCAGGAACTTCTGTTCAAACAAACCTGACTTGCTGTCCGGGTCAGCAATTTTGAAAAGGTGGCAACACTAGATGAAATGGAGTATTGTCTAGATGTCTGCCTTATCTGCAAAGACAGACACATTGAGCATTTGTGAGGTATACAAAAAGCTTTGAGAATTTACCTTTATTCAAATGTACTAAGAAATAATATCTGTTGCATAGTTTACAGATAATTAATATTTAGTATGTTTCACAGACTTATGAATAATTCTGTATTTTCCATATTCAATGAAGAACTATATATAGAAAAATTTTGATTTTTATATTCGAAATTTATGGAATTATGAAGTTATTCGAAAATATTGTAAAGTAAATTTTGCAATATTTTCAAATGTTACTATTTTAATATTGCAAATTTTAGAAATGAATAAATAGTACTTACATTATCATCAGGAGGTTCATCAGATGAAGCTGCCTGAATAGAATATGCAACAAAACAAAGAATAGCACCTATCCATAATAAAAGTGCAAATCCCCCAAAAAGATTTTTGCAAAATTTCACCCATTCTGGTGTTTTCTTAGGGGGTGAGAGTGCATTTGGTCCATCTCTTTCCAAAATATGTTTAGCTTCTTGTTGTGTTAAGCCCTAAAAGAAAATATAATTTAGTTTTAATTATTTAAATATAAAACAACTAAAAAATTAGTTATATTTTATAATAAATTTTAGTGATAACAAAAACGTAAGAAAAATATTTTGATATATAAAAATGCATTCTTGAATTAAATAATGCTTTGTCAACCAAAAAATTATTACATGATATATCTTAATTATATATAAAAGATAATAATGTTTACATAGTATAATAGAACACAAAATATAATATTTAATAGAATAGAAAGCTCCAAAAATAAAATATAGAGCCTAATAGCAAATTTTTAACAAAATCAATAGTAACTGTAGCCATTTGATATTTTTTACAATGTAGCCAATATTCAGGGTGTCAAAAAAATCATTCATCATTTATATGGTAACCATACTGATAACACACAAACTCTTTAAAAAATCTTAGTAAACATAGTTAGTAAACCTTAGTTAAAACTCAAACCATTTCTGAGATAAATAATCTGACAAAGACTGAAACAACTTTTTGAGAAAGTTCACAACTCTGTAAGAAGATGTCAAGCCATTGTCAATCATGACGCTAATACAAAATTGTTAATATGAAACAGGTGAGTTTTTTTACCTATGTTTAATTTTTTACTCAGTATAGTGTGTACTATCTGCCATATAAATACTGAATGCTTTTTTTAACACCTTATAGAAGAAATCTCATTATAATAAATTAGAAAATAAACTCAATAATTAAACAGAAAAAACAAAATATTTATAGAATTCAATACTTTTAGCTTATTTTATAAGCATATCAGCTTGAAATTGAAATTAAAAAGAAATCATTAATTCAATAAGTTTAAACATTTTAGAACAAAAAATTTATCTAAATATATAAAACTAGCTGTTACCCGCAACTTTGTCCGCGGAGGTTTTGCAAGCAAACCCCATTTACATTCAATATTTCAATAACCATAGTAATTGTTATATAACACCTACCGCTGAAGAGAATTGCCGAGAATCAAACAAACTATTTTCAATTTGATCAATTTTCTGGAACATTTACAATCTTTCTATAATCGAACCAATATGCAATAACAAATTCGAATTTAAAACGGTTCGAACATTTTTAAAATCAAAATAGATAAAAATATTTATAACAGTGTCTGAAATGTTATCAATTTAATACACCTAAGTACTCAATGAAGACTAAACGTAGTTGAAAACAAAAAATCGCATCTAAAATAGTACAGTAGAAGATGTTCTTCCGGTTAAGCCTTAATGCTCTCCCTCACCCCCGCAAGGAAATTTCTAAAAATCCCTTCTTATTGTGCATTGCCATGGCGTACCCTACTAAAACGCAGATAAAAACAAAAAATTGCATCTAAAATAGTACAGTAGAAGCCGTTCTTCCGGTTAACCCTTAATGCTCTCCCTCTCCCCCACTTGGAAATTTTGAAAAATCCCTTCTTAGTGTGCGTTTTCATGACGTACCCTAACTGTGTACCAAATTTCACCTCTCTAGGTCCAGCGGTTTGCTCTGGGCGATGATAAATCAGTGAGTCATTCAGTCAGTCAGTCAGTCAGGACAAGCAATTTTATATATATAGATTACTTGTCCTGACTGAATGACTGATTCATCATCACCCAGAGCAAACCACTGAACCCTAAAGAGGTGAAATTTGGTACACAGTTAGGGTACGTCATGAAAATGCGCACTAAGAAGGGATTTTTAGAAATTCCTGGGCAGAAGGGAGAGAGAGAGGATTAAGTCTTAACCGAAAGAACGGCTTCTACTGTACTATTTTAGATGCAATATTTTGTTTTTATCTGCATTTTAGTAGAAAATGCCATGGAAATGCACACTAAGAAGAGATTTTTTGAAATTCTTCCACAGGGGGCAAGGGAGATGATTAATGCTTAACAGGAAGAACAGCTTCTACTGTACTATTTTAGATGCAATTTTTTGTTTTTATCTGCGTTTAATTTTCATTGAGTACTTAGATGTATTAAATTGATAACATTTCAGACATTGTTATAAATATTTTCATATATTTCGATTTTTTAACCAAATGTTCGAACCGTTTTAAATTTGAATTTTTTATTGCATATTGGTTTGATTATAGAATGATTGTAAATGTTCCAGAAAATAGGGTACACTATGGGAAACCACACTAAGAAGGGATTTTTCGAAATTCTCCCACGGGGAGAGGGACAGCATTAAAGCTTATCTGGAAAAACAGCTTCTACTGTACTACTTTAAATGCGATTTTTTGTTTTCAACTACGTTTAGTCTTCATTGAGTACTTAGGTGTATTAAATTGATAATATTTCAGACATTGTTATATATATTTTTATCTATTTTGATTTTTAAAATATTTGAACCGTTTTAAATTCAAATTTGTTACTGTGTGAAGGTTACGGATGTACGAGACAAATCGTTCCAACGAATATAAATTAAACAATAATTTATTATAATAGGGATTAACAGGTTCTACAGAGATGCCCGTCAGAGACAAACACGAATATACAACAGGTCTCCACTCTCGTCCAAAATCTTACAAAATTTAATGATCACAATATATGGTCTACTCACTAACTTATAATTAACTTATATCTAACTTAATCTAATATTAAACTAATAAGAGGAAAGGGAAGGAAAGACAGAAAAGGTCTACCGGTAGTTAGCTCAGGAGGTCCTGATGGTGGTTTCCGAATATTGCGGGGGTTTTCTCGGCCGACTTTGGTATATTCAACATTCCTGGTATAAATCTTGGCACTTATTTTTCTTAGACTATTATCTTTCACCAATTAAGTCGCTAGTCCTCTTCTCTTCTCTCTGGACTGCGCTAAACCTCGCACATGGGGCTGGTTCTTTGTCTTGGGTCTGACTTAGTGTCTCGACGAGATTTTCTTAACCCTCTCTCCTCGTCGTCCAGGCAAAAAGTGTCCTTCTCACCCCACGGGCAGGGCCGCACCCTGTTCACCTCGGTAAGCCACCAATCAGGACCCACGAAGTTCCCGCTCCTGATCGGGTGACCGGAAATGGTCATTAGCAGAAGAAGAAAGAAGGAAAAGAACAAAGAATCTTAAATCTAAATATTCTAACTAGGTATATACAAAATGGCGGACAGCCACAACTGCATATTGGTTCGATTATAGAACGATTGTAAACATTCCAGAAAATTGATCAAATTAAAAATAGTTCGTTTGATTCTCGGCAATTCTCATCATTCTCAGCGGTAGGTGTTATATAACAATTACTATGGTTGTTGAAATACTGAATATAAATAGGGTTTGCTTGCAAAATCCTCGTGGGCAAAGCCACGGGTAACAGCTAGTATGTCATATAAATGACAACTGAATATTATATTTACAATTACATTCATTTCCATGTTTTAGTTTAAATTTCTAGGATATGAATAAACTTTAATTATCTCTAGCCATGTCAGCAATTAATAAAAGTTTTGTGTTTATAAATCTCACATGAATTCTTGATAGACAAAGTATACTAAAATGTATAAAATTCATAAATAAATAATCTCAATTAATTGCTTAAATGCAAGAGATAATGAAAATTACCTATGTACTGGTAATTTTTATTAATATGCGGGAAATGCATGAAATTGAGAATTTTTAATATTTATTTTATTTAAACATAATTAAATTATTGTGTTATATGGAATTTTAATTTTATATTTTATAATGTTTAAAATTATTGATATACTAATTAATATTCTATAATGAATTTTAAAGAACTCAAAAAAGTTTTTGTTTTGCTACATTCTAATTTTTTGTTGCATTTAAACAATGGATTTACACATTTACTTTTTACATTTTATTAAAAGTATTATCAATATAAATATATTTTATGTTATTAAATAAATTTTACAATAAAACTTATTGATTATATCTATTATTATATCTTGTAGTCATTATTTTTAAGCAATTACAAAATAAAGTTAAATATCTGCAAGTTGAAAATTCAAACTTAATGACTACAAGAATATGAACTATATAAACTGCTTTAGGTGTACTTTAAAATTAATACAAAGCATTTACAATTACTATTTTTGTCTTTTGAGCAGATTTATATAAAGTTTAATGTAAATCTTTCTTAATAAAAATTACACCTTTCATTTAATCTAATAATCAACCCGAATGTTTAAGATTTATAAAGCAATTAAAAAATAAATTTAACATTTCTGAAACTAAAAGAAAACTTTGATTTAAAAATTTTACAACTGTTCACAACATGTTTTTACTTTCCTGGCTGTTATATATAACAGAGGGAAATTATGATGATTTATCAAAAAAGGACCACCCCAGATTTTTCCATTTTTAGCCTCAGGGAAGCTTGAAACATCAAGAAATGCAAAAAAATTTGGGGTTTTTTCTGTTTGTATGGATGTTAGTGTGTGTTTGTTAACCCTCTTTGAAGCTTAATAACTCCTGTGCTTTCTGTTGAAAATTCTGAAATTTTGCAGGGAGGTTTGTTTCTTAGGGGATTGATGCTATTAAATTTTGGTGTTTAAACATCCAAGGGTGGAGAGATAAACAGGGCCTTTTTTTATACAGTATTCATAAAACACTACACTAAAATCTCTATAATTTTTCTTAAGAAATTGAATAAATAAAGTATATGAAAGTACTGTGTGTACTGTGTCAAAAAATATAGTAAGTTAATAGAAAACAAGCTATAAAAGTACCAGTTGTCAGGAAAAGACAACTGGTCTTTTCCAGTTTTTTCATGTTTTGGTCTTGTTATAACAAACCAAAACATAAAAGAACACAATGAAGGAAATAGCTATCATTACTCATGGCTATGCTGGCCAAATTGTACAAAAAAAAAATTTCTAGGAAAAAATTATGTACAGGAAGATTGCCATCCTTGGAACTGCCAAACATCTCTTCCAACTTACTTGCAAAGCAGGGGTGTCTTAATGGGCAGCCTGGTATCTAAAACCCATAGAGTCATCAGGTATAACCAACAGCATTCAAAGGTTTACAAACAAACCAACTTACCATCTCCTACAAGAGAAACCCAGCTGTGTTCTCTTTATTACAAAATGCCAAAGATCCTATTAACAGAAAATTCCTCTTGTTATAGACAACAGATTTAATAAGAAATTGGTTTAAATCAGAGAAATGGCTTGATCTCTTAATATGCATATCAAGGAGCACCATTATTCTATCCAAAAGGGCTGCCGACCACAGCATTAGCAACATTTACAACTGAAAATGATGTATAAATATTTTTTAATAAAGCAAGTCTAATACAACCAATTAGGAACCAAACCAATCTGAAACATCTGGAGAAACTCAAAATTTACAAAGCTATTTTTTTAAACACTGCAATAAATTACAAGAATGCCAAGACATTTTCTAAAGCATGGAGGTCCATCTTTGAAGTACACCTATAATTTCAAATCTTATTTTTAAAAAAATAGTTGGTTATGTCATTGTTGATGTTTGTGCCTTCCACCAATGAAATAATTCTATTTTGTTTCAAGTGACATTTGAATTTTCATATGTATATTTTACTGCTATTTTAATCTGATGATGATTTAAAAAATCGTTAAAAATGTTTATTTTTATTATTATTTAGTAAATTTCTGGATATTATTGATATTGTTTTATTAAGGACAAGAAGTTTGGGATTTCCTGTGTAGAGCTAATAAGTGCTTGTTCCAGTCTGGATCAGTATTAGTAAAAGACGATCCAACCCCTTCAATTTTAAGGGCAAGTTACTGCTGTGCTAGGAGATGCATCAGCATCATCTGGGCTGCTTGATCAATTAGCCTACATGGCATGTCCCAGACTATTTTTTGAAGTGAAAAGTGCATAAATCTGTCCCACCTTTGTGTTCCTTGGTGAATAAGTGCACCCATCCAACATATTTCTTAGAAAAAGTGCTTACTAGAAAAATCACTATACTTGTTCAACTCTTGAGGCAGTCTCTTATAAGTAAAGTTATTGAGGCTATACTTCTGAGATCATACTTCTTTTCAAAATTGATGTGGTCTCCCTGTTCAGTGCATCACTTTGAAGCAGTCATGCTTACAAATGCCTTGAAAATGATTTTCCATACCACAGGTACTAGACTTACAGGAAGTGCTCTTACTAATTACAAAAAGCAATCCTTTTTATTTTGATAGTAATATTTATTTACAATCAGCCTATCAACTCACCACTCACAGCTATATTGGCTGAATCAGTCACAAGGACTCTATAGTTTGGAATTTTTACATCTTCACTTATCCTAAAGTATCCTCTTCTCTATTTGCAGTTTGTCAATGATGTACTTCTGGCATGAGAGAACTCTGATGAAAAATTACTATGCTTTATTCAGTTGTTGTCCAGCATTTTTCTGACTGTTACATTTTACAAGAGGAGGAGAAAAATGCAAAGATTGCTTTTTTGGATATGTTTGTGTACAGATTTCCTAGTGGGCTTTTCTTTACTGGGTTTCATAAATTCAATACACCACCTTATATCATCCCTTCCATGACTTCCAACTTCCAATACAAAAATTCAGCCATTACAGCATTCATACACAGAGCCTTCTTATATCTTTTCACTCTATTGCTTGTGGACAAGATACTTTCCCTTGTTAAATTAGCAGTTTGCAGGGGGTTACTCTCCAACCAATTTTATCCATCTTGTCAACCAGGTCAAATGTATGTTGTTTTCATAATCCACCTTGTACTTTAAGGAGTGTTGGTTTTTGTGATACCCATTCTGTATCTGGGTCAGCCCTCATTTTGTCTTTGCTGGGTTTTCAATATGGTTATATAATGCCACTAGCTCCCCAGCTTACGTTGTGCAAGATCTTTTCCAATGACATAGACAATGTCCCACCTCTTGAAAAATCTGGAGTTTATGCTGGCTGTTTTCTTACAAAATTCATTAACTCAGTTAAAGCTTTTGTATATTGGGGTGACTGCCAGAATGTGCTGCGTCTTGTGGAGCATCATGAGGATGTGGTGTATAATATATATATATATATATATAAAACAAAGCTGGATAAAACAAGTAATAGTAAGTAAATTTGATCCATTTTGGTTGCAAACCTTGCTCCTAAGACATTGTAGGGACTGAAGAACACTATTTATCTGGGAGTCTCTTTTCATTGCATCAAAGTCACCATATAACTCCTCCAAACTTGACATCCTAGAGTTGTGGATTGTGCTATTTAAGCTTCTAAAATCTTAAGTTGTGTATCTCACAATAAAAAGCATCTCATTTCATTAATAGAGTTTCTATGTTTTATGTTATTTAATAATAAACCACACACACCTGATTTGTATTTGCCGAGTTATTTTCTTTGTTCGTTGTTCGTTTGATAAACGAACAACGTTAAAGCCTGAAGATGGCCTATACAAATTGGCCAAAAACGTTTGCACAAAGAAAATAACTCGGAAAATACAAATCAGGTGTGTGTGGTTTATTATTAAATAGCTAGTATTGCTGAGAAGGTAGATAGATAGTTTTATGTTACTTTTGTATTTTTAGTTCAGCATAATTTTTATTGGATTTATTTCATTTTGTATCCTAATCATCTGAAATTCTATAATTTTATATATTTCAAATATGTACTGTACCATGCTTGAGTGAGATGTTAATGAGAGAAAAAGGGGATGTTTAATTGAAATCATGTCAAGATGAATAATGTGGGAGTAATGGACAATACTGAGATGAGTTACCTTTACAAAATTAACCGATTTATTTAAAACATGTAATGTTTACACTAATTTTGTTGAGAACTTCTTCATGATGATTATGTACTCAAGGAAAAAAAGATCAGTATGTAATTCATTGTTATCGGTTCCAATATCTGTCTGTTGGCAATTAGGTGGGCCCAGGACAGTTTGTTAGCCAATTCTGGATGTGGGATGAGTAGAGAATGATCAGAAGTCAGACATAAGTAACAGCAGAATGAAGATGAAGTCAAAGACAAAAGGGATGTCAACACAGAGGACAAACAGAATGAGCACAGGAGAATAAACTCTCTTGAAATTTGGGTTTATAAAGAGTTTTATTCCCAAATTAATTGATTTGATTAATTCTAATAGTTTCCTATCTTTCCCTAATTGGTCCATCTATGTATCTAAGTAAAACTGCACAACCAGATCAGGCATGAGAAAGATCTATTTCCATTATTCAACCTTACACTTCATCTCAACACCAACCAAATGATGTTGATTAAACTTTGAGACTTTTGCTAATATAGTAGAACCTCGATTATCCAGATTTTCGATTATCCGGATTGTTCAAAATAAACAAAAATTTTACGAATTTGCTGATATGCACTTGGTGAACTATGACACTGTTTATGTACGTGATGGAATGCATAACTTTTTTTGTTTCAACAACTTCTCACCCAGCACAGTGGTTGTAAACTCTTAAATATATTTTACGTTGTAATAAAAATATAACTTGACATACGTATTTATAAATAATTTATATTCAAATTACATCATTTCTATGACCAAGGGCAGCGTAAGGCATGGGCGACATGGGCCACCATCTATGCCTCGCGCCTCGAAGGTTTATGCATTACTTAAAAGCCGCAAACGCGACGAAAAAATTTTACTCATCATAAAACGATAAATAGTTTGTCAAATTTTTATTCATAAAAATGAGGTTTTAACTGCTTTTTATTTTATAAAATCCATCTTCTTGCACCACCAGAGGACCTTTTAAACAATAGGTAGTCTGTTAGCGCTGGTCAGTAGTAGTCCAAATTCAATATGAATGTTTGTTTCTTAAATATTTGATCACGATTTAAATACAGTATTTATTTTTAATATTACCGATATGTCGTCAAAAAGAAAATGTGTTGTATTATCATTAAAAGACAAATTAAAGTATTTGTTTTGATTATCCAAATTTTTCCTTATCCGGACTACCTTCATCCCCAATTAGTCCGAATAATCGAGGTTCTACTGTATCTTAAACTATATTGTTTTCCTTTCCAACATCAAGAATTTTAATGACTATAAAACAATTATTTCTTTTATTTGTTTTTGGTAGAAAAAGTATTTTTTTTCCCATTTTGTCAATATTTGACTATTTTACACATTTTTTTCTCATTATTAAAATATTTTTAAATGCATTTGGTGAGGGATTCAAATCCTATCCGAAACCTTCCACTTTTGCATGAGGAACAATTTTGAAAAATGTTCTTTATTGTTTGTGTTCCATTTTTCAAAAAGTAGTATTCTGTTCTCTGTGTATGATAATATTGTCTGAAGACCACGTGTTCTGTTGTGTAACCAGCTCATAACCAGCCCCTTGGGTGAGCCACAGAGTAAAGAAGGAATGGGCATTCTCGATGACAATCGAAAAATCCAGATCAAGGAGGGAGAGAGTATGCTCAACGAAGAAAGCAGGACTTTTTGGAAGAAAGCAAAAGGAGTGAAGACATGTAGACGAGAGAGTCATAATTTTATTTTATTTTTGTGTGTAGTTTCCTATGTTTTAGTACCTGTTATAGCAAAAGGATAAAGAAGTGATCAGAAGGACTAAAATAAGTTAATACTTTAAATTCCTTACATTAGAGTCATAGAGTGTGTGATTTATTTCTTCAAAGTTTCTTTCTGTTTTTTCCTAAACGGGGAATACTCTAAAGATCGAGTACTTCCCCACAGAACAGTTATAAACTGCTGAAAGTACTCACTTCAAATACAATCACTCACTTAAATAAAATGAAAAAGTACTCACTTAAATAAATATTTTCTGTAATGCTAATAGACAATTGTATTGATATTATTAATTCTTAATGCAATAATGTTCTACTTTATTTACATCAATGAAAATATTTTAACAGTTAGATATTTGTTTAAAATAGGTATAGTATGAAGAAAACAAGTTATATTTAAAGAATTATTTTAAAAAATTGCTGTAAAATTTAAATGTTATGATTAAATTAAGAAATAAATTGTAAAATCACTTACTGAGTCTGGATTTGTTCCTAATCGAGAGTATAATTCCTGGATAGGTATTTTATGTTCATCCTAGAAAACAATTTTATATTAATATAAAATAATTTTTAAAAATAATAAAATCATTGCATTATTTTCAATATTACAAAATTACTGATCAAATTTTTTTCATATTTTGCTATTAGTATTTATCATTATTTAGCTTCTAAATAATAATTTTTATTCTTATTTAAATCTAAATAATTTTTATAATTCTGTAAACAATATTACAGAACTAAAAATCCTTCAAATATTCTATAAATTCTTCAAACTAAGAAGTCCTCCATGGTTTTCTAATAAGTCTTTTTACATTTCTTTATAACAGACAATAATATTACTTTTATTCATATGTAACAGAAAATTTCTTATAATCTTCTTCTTTAAAAACTTCAATAAAACTGATTCTAAATTTATCATCATCATCTAAAAATGACATGTCTGTCTATATACAATATTCTATATAATTATAACTTACAAGTAAAAATATTCAGTATAAGTTAATTATATTTATAATTAATTATCTAGGCTGCTATTCTATTAGCATTAATTAATATTATATATGTATAATTTTTAATAAACAATACATCTTAACTTTTTTTATCATAAGGTTTATTTCTAAATTCAAAACCTCATAGGATAAAATAAGTTTAACTGTATTGAATTTAAAAGCTTCCCAAAAAAAATGAAGAAAACATTTTTTTAAATCAAATGATAATCAAGACTATCAGCACAAAACCTTTCTCACTAATTTCTAGCCGTATTAACAGGAGTAGAAAGTGAGAAAGGTTTTGTGCTGATAATCTTAGAAATAGTTCTAGCTACATATGCATAGTAGAACAAATGATAATCATTGCTAATTAAGACATGTGACTCAATAATTGTAATGCTAATATCTAAATTGTCCTTTTCATTGTTATAAAGTAAATTTTGAAGACTAAAATAATTTTATACATTTAAAACAATAGTTCTAGCTGAACTATGCAATGTTTCACCTTGTTTATGCACAACAACATTATTTTATGCCATTTTGGTAATGAAATCAAAATTAAGGATGAAGTCATTACTATTTTCTTTTATTTGGTACATTTTTTTTAAACTAAAATGAAGAATAATTAAAATAAAGTTCTATTATATTAATTAATTAAAGTAGCATTTGTATATAGTTTAAACTTGGTATCATTAAATAACATTCAAGTTTACAGTAACAAAATAAATCCTTATGAAGCATATTCTAAATAATAAGAATTGAATGAACAAAACAGAATTTCAGCATTTTATTAGATAGCTGATTATCACAATCCATTAATTCTTTAGCATATGATTTTGTTGAACAATATGTAGTTTTTCTACAACAAATAAGATTTGACTCTCAAACTAGTATTATTAATTATTATCAACATTAAATTTTGTTTTCTGTTTAATTTTTTTAGTTTATTTTAGCATTTATAATTATTGTTAATAAAACATATAATAATAATAATATAATTATTATATGTATCTATCAAATAATAATAATATTATTATTATTATTTGATAAAGAGTAAGCAATGCAATACAATAAAAAAGTTTGTAAAAATAAAACTTTTAAAAAAATCTAGGATGGAATATATTGTACATACACCTTCACAATCCAAAAAGGTGATGAGCGAGTAAAAGGAGTCATACAGTCATACAAATCATCCATTCAGAATATATTGTAAAATTACAAAAATGAAGATGAATACAAAATATATTCCACTTTGAATTTATAACATTTTTATTTTTACAAAGAAAAATTTATATAAATATCTAATGTCAGAGAACTTTTAGACATTTTGCATATATGCAGGTGGAGAAGAGCCTATAAAGAAAGATTGACTCCTCTTGACTTAATTGAGTTCCACAGTTACAAATAGATGTATAGAAGGCTTCAAAATGTTTTGTATTAGTTTTCATTTTTATAATTTTAAGAAAAAAAAATTGTTGTTTGGATGCCATTTTGTATTTTTTACATGTAGAAAGTTTAAGAATTTCCATTTCAGTTAAGTTTACCAACTTTCTTGTACTTCATTCTGACACCTACCAGACTTTTATGCCAACTCCCTAATTAATTTGAGATTCATCATTAGGTCTTTGCAATATCCATCTATTTTTCCAAGTTATCCATTATTAGTTGGCAAAGACTGGGATAATAGGTGTTGAATCCATAGACCAAGAATTCCAGTGACTCACCAGTGGAAGCATGAGTCACATTACTAACATTACAAAAAAAAAAAAAAAAACCAGGACTAATGAATAAGACACTATTCTTATTATGGCCGTTTAAAATACAAGCAACAGCATCACACAGCAATTATATTACATGACATATTAAACTTTTTGCATACTGAATTAGCACATGGCCAGCACAAAGTGGTTGCATTATGTTTTATACATGGTATTTTGCACATATTTACACAGATTTTTGACGAGGAGTTCATCAAATTAGATGATAGGAGTCAGAAATTACCATTTCAGGTCACCCATAGCTTCATATGATATAAAAAAATAGTATCAGCACAAAACTTTGCTGATTGGTCCTTGATAGGAATGATTTTGGAAAATAAAAATATTGATTGCTGTAAAGATGTATCTATTATTATGGGGAAGTTATAGTTGGCATTCCAATGATGTCAACAGCTATTTATTGGAATTGTTGATCAACAACTTCAGTTTCTTGAAAGGGGACCTTGCTCTGATAAAGACTGTTTTTGACAAATCTCACAACCTCTAATATATGATCAGACATGTTTGATTATATTCCTAAGGTAATCATTTTAGTTTATCATGCTACAAGTCTTTTCAGTCCTGTGGAAAACTTTGATGACTTCATTTGCCATACTAATACCCACACAAACCATCTGTAATTGGCAAAGTTCAAAGCAGTCTGACTTGATATGAATTATTACCCCATTGTCAAGTTAATATTCTGGTTGAATACTGTATTCTTACCTACAGAAGTTCTCAAAATGGGGTTGACTCGTTCTATGTTCCAGGATCTGGTTCAAAAATGTATCAATCCTTTAAAATTCTAAGATATTTTCCCAAAATCCTCCATTTATCATGTTAACACCCCTCATCAGAGTTTCCTTCACTTGTCCCTCTCCACAAGGCAGGGCAGTAAGTTGGCAACAGGGTTTTGTTGTCTTTAACATATACAACCTTGATGTCACTATTAGACAATTCCATTGATCTCATGCAATTCAAAAAAAGCAACAACTTATGGTCAGAGTGTACATTTATTCTGTAGTTAAGAATTGTAGGTTTATAATGTCACATGGCAGTCATATAGGTTTATAATGTCACTCTCTTCTTGATTGTTGAATATCTCATTTAGGACCATAAAACTTCTTGCTATAATAACCAATGGAAATGCAGTTATAGTTTTTAAGCTAAATAAGACCATGCCTACACAGGAATAAAAAGCAAATTTATGCAGATGGAAGGGTATATTAAAATGTGGTAAGTGAGGAGGGAGTTTTCAAAAGAAGAGATTTAAATGCATCATAGCTGTTCTGATAGGCCTCATGCTATCTAAATTCACGTCCGTTTATACTTAAATCTGTCATTGGGAGTGTAATCTTCAAAAAGTTAGGGATGAAGTCCCTAAAAATGCTGACCATTCCCTGGAAACTTCTCACACCCTTTATGTTCTTCAGACTACACTGGTCTTTAATTGTCTGGGTGTTCTCTGACAATTAAGAGAATCAAATGGTTGGTGTGAAAAGAAAGTTAATAGTCCTTTCAATTGAAAAAAAAAAATGAAAATCTTAATTTTTGGACAAAAATCCTCACATGAGAAAAAATGAAGTTGTGATCAAGTTTGATATTCTGTCAAGTACTCTTTCAACAATAATAAAGAACAGCGATTTAATAGAGAGAAATTGAAAAAAATTGAAAATGTTCTTTTCCACAAACATAAGAATATGTAAAAAAATAGTTTTTGTATTGTTGCAACCAAAGAGTTCCCCTTAGCAAAATTATGTTACAAAGGAAAACTGAGAATTTTGAAAAGACTTCACCTTAAAAGCCAAAAGACTTGACCTTAGCAAATATAAAGCCAGCAATGGATGGCTTGAGAGCTTTAAAAGTAGACCCATCATCATCTTCAGGAAACTGTAGAAAAAGTGCATTTGTGCCTCAAAGTGTTTGCAAAGAGTGGATCAAGAAGCTTCCTTCTCTTGTTCAAGATTACAGAGCCAGTGGATGTCTTCAACACAGCCTTTTTTCTAATGTTTACCCAACAGAACAGCTATATTCAAGGGACAAGAGTGCCGAGGTGGGAAACAGAGTAAAGTTCTATATGTGTGGCTGTACTCTTAGCAGTTAATCAAACTGGAAGTGAAAAACTTTCACAACTGATGATTAGTCATTCTGTAAAGCCCAGATATTTCTCAAAAGTAAAATCATTTCCTATAACATGCAAAGCAAACCAGAAAGCTTGGATGACAAGTAAAATCTTCAGTAACTGATTGAAAGAAATCAATGGGTTTAAAAATGGAAAAATTCTTTTCATCAATAACTGCAACACTTGTTCCAACCGCCCTACTCTAAAAAACATGATTTTAGATGTGATATCACATCTAAGCTGCAACCCCTTGATCAAGGGATCATTCAAAGTTTCAAAGTGGGAAGAGAACTGGTTCAAAAACTTCTAGACACAATTGACAATGGTAATATCCTTCTCACTATCAATGTTTTGGATGCTTTGAGAATGATAGACTATGCTTGGAGGAACATTAAGGAAAGACAATCAAGAACAGTTTTCTAAAAGCAAGGTTTAAGCAATGAAACAATAAAGAAGAACAACATAACATCATTGATACGGTGAAAGACAGAAACCAATAAAGTAAATTTGAAAGAACAGATAAACATCAAGAATAAACTTAATCTAGACATTTCTTTTGAAAAGTTTTTGATCATAGACAATTCCCTGGTAACATGCAGAATATTGACAGATATGAAGATCATGGAAAATGTGAAAAGAGTTTCTGATGATGACGAACTAGAGGATC